AATAGTATTAAATGGTAAATGATAACCAAATTACAATAACTAATATTAAATGGTAATAAAAAAGTAAGCAAAATAAATTAACAAAAAGTCCATAATTTAACAAAATAAATTAAAAATAAATCCAACCATATTAACGAATTAAAGTAAGTATGTAAAATGATAATAAAATTTACAATAAAGTCCAAAAACAACTACAATAAAGTACTAAATACAAATATAAAAAAACAAAATCTATCGATGCCTGCGACGCAAATGTGTTCCACAGGGCGGTGACTGTCAGTCTCGAGGAAGTTTCTTCGTATCACTGGTTGTGACTCCTCGCTGTCATCATTATCACCCATCATTATCTTCGTCCTCGTCGTCGTCATCCTGGGCAGCTAAATTTTATTGATGAGAGCTGATGATGATGAAGCACCTCATAGAATAAGGACCTTGGAGGTGTATGACTGACTATCCCACCGGCCTGCGAAAACTGGGAAAACTCATAAAACCCAGACATCGCTGAGTGTGAAAACTGTACAAGAGGTGTATGTGCTGCGGTCATGGGTGATAAGGCTGAACCCGCCAAATATCTAGTATATGAACCCCAAGTCGGATCTGTAAATATAGACCCATAATAGCCTCCATGAGGGGTCATAAAACTCTGTGAAGGTGGCGGCGGCGGCATCTGGTAATGGAAAGGCGGTGACAGCATCATATATGGATGCGGTATGTAAGTCGTTGAAAACAATGGCTGCTGTGAAGGTCCTGCTGGTGCAGCTGAAGATGAACCGGAAGCACCTGCTCTCTGTCCACGAGTCGGGGGACGATGTTGCTGTGTCGGTGAACGTCTCCGTCGACGTCGTGGAAAAGTCTGCCCTCTACATCCTTAGGAAGCAGAAATGTTTCTCATTTCTGTTGAACCACGCATAATAATCATCACCAACCGTCAAGTCATCAACATAAATGGACTCTCTACAGGGAAGGCGTCGATGTCGATCCTCCCACAACACGACCGACTCATGATGCCTCACCAACCAATCTGTATCGGTCTTGCCGCGTCTATCTGTGTTATGCAACTCGTCCACATTATGAGGTACTTCCGGAATTGGTTGAAAACAACCAAATTGCTGGAGCACACGATCAGTGGAGTGCCACTCGACGGTCGCATAACAGATCAAGGGACAATCGCCATCCAAACCTCTGATAGGCCCCTCAACTCAGGTGGGATCACCGTCCTCACATCATCATTAGAATAATGGCACCCATTCAACTAAAACAAATATATATAATTTTTATCAAAATAATAATCTAATTATATACTATAATCTACAATCGATTTTTAAACATTAAATTCATACTTGTGTACCAACCTTGATCGATTAGCAACTTAATTTTTTCTAAATCATCAGGTAGCTCCTGATTATTTTTCTTGTCAGTCGACCACCTATTCAATGAAAAAAATTATTATACACTGTATAAAATGATTAATATACAAAATCAGTTTTATAATTACCTTAAGAGTAGCGGAAATACGAATGGATTCTTCAACACACAAAAAAGGGCAATCGATACCATGCCCAGCTGCAGCAGAAGACATCTGCCGATAGCATTATGTCTGTAGTCAGTGGCTCGACACATCTCTTTGTACAAGAATCCAAAACTGCCCGCGCCCCAACTAAGTGATCTAGCCCACGAAAGTCGACAAGATGTCGCAACCACATACAATGAACTTGGTTGCGCGAAATGTCTGACATCAACAACCCTCCTATCAGCTACAGTATGCATGCCCGTGCATATATTTTAACTTCATCATCTGACGCGTCCTCGCTCAACTCCCAAAAATTAATCTAACCAATTTAACGGTGTCCAACCACTTTTAAAACTTTCCGGGACACGTCTAGATTATCCCGACACAAAGTAGTCCAAGAACCCTACGATCCCTGATATCACATCTTCATCCACTGGAAGCCCCAGGTGCATAGAAATATCCTCAAGTGTAATCGTGCACTCTCAACACAAAAGATGGAATGTGTAGGTCTCCGGCCTCCACCGCTCTACTAAGGCAGAAATAAGGTCTGGTTCTATCTTACAGTGACCCTGATCTACCTATGTAACCGAATTCAGCCTCTACTAAATACGGCAATACACGGCTAGGTATCACTAACTTAAGGTTCCTAATAAAAGGATCTAATACACGGTCCTTCTCCTAAAATTAAATAATTACAAAAATTAATTCTTAATCTAATAATCATACATTAAATAAATCAACAAATTATTACTAATAATTTGAATTAAATTAAAACGTTAAAATGTTACCGTATCAGTAAAGTGTCGAGATATGATTTCCATCCAAGTGAAGTATATAATCTTCCATTTTATATCTGCAAAAAAATTAATTAAGTAAAATATTAAATAAATTAAATACTTAAATAAATTAAATGCAAAATATTAAAAATATAATAAAATATACCTTAGACAGAGATTATAAGAGTATTTGAGAGAATTTGAGAGAATTGGTGTGAGAAAGTGATTGAGGATGGATGTATTTATAGGGAGGGATTGGGGTGTGAAACGTCGGGGTGGGGTAATTATACCTAAGGCGCGCTGCAGGGGGCGCGCCTTACTGACGCGTGGCAGATTCTCAGGTAAGGCGCGGCCCCTGCCCCGCGCTATACCCTACGTGGCGTAAGGCGCCCCCCAAGGGCCGCGCTATACACACGTGTATCCCATGTCAGCATAAGGCGCGCCTCATGGGGCGCGCTTTACCCCACGTGGCGCCAAATCAACGTTAAGCGCGCTGCAGGGGGTGCGCCTTTGTACAAGGGTTAGATCAAAAAATAGTCTGAACGGTGCCTGATCGGGGAAAACGGTGGACGATGATATATCAGAAAAATCGCCCCCAAATTCAAATTGGGAGAGATGGAAGAAAATGGGATAAACTACAGTGGTGGTCACTAATATTTGGGTAAGTTTCTCCTTTACTACATAAGTTTGAAACATTGTATGTTCACTAATATTAGTAATTATAATAAAATGATCACTCAACCGCTCACCATCATTCTCATTAAATTGATAATGTGGAAACATTTTTTGTGAAAAAAGAGAATTGCTATGTGCCTCGTTAAAAATTCCCCTAATCCTAGTCGGAGGAAAGAGTACACGGGACAATTAGAGTTTACAAGTCTAAGGAAACATCCATAGAACCAAACATAATCCTGCTCATGTCCAACCTAATGCAGAAACTGCAGAACCGAAGCCGGGGGCGTGACAAGAGTATCGCATTGAAATTCACCAAACTTGGTTAATTTAGCCACCTCATCCGCAACTCAATTTCCCTTTCTAGCAATGTACTCTATTCTCACCAACTAATCCTGCTTCAACAACTCCGAGACGTGATGAAGAATGATCAGTTCAGCACAGGGAACCATGTGTTTCTCAATCATGGACAAAGCACCCAAACTATCGACCTCAACAATGATCTTACGAAAATCACTCCTCGCGCAAGGCAGAGCCTACGGAAAACACCCCAAATCTCTGCTTCCACAATCAAGCATACCCTTATAAATTTCATGAAGCCGTTGCACCAACTTCCATTGTGATCACGAATAACACCACCACAGGTTGTATACCTTATCATTTTAGAAACAACGCCTTAAAAATCTTAAACCAATCAACAGGGGGAGGATCCATCTCTTTGGTCTCACCCTATGCCCTGATGATCAACCTACACACTATACCTCGTCGCTAGAGCAATACAATGACTTCCTTCAAATGTACACTCTTCTTCATTATCGAATGACAATCATCTATCGGTATCTCAAAGTAATAACATTTCTTCTGGGCCATATGTTCCACACAATCTATTAAAATTATTAGCATTTAATTTTATCGCTAGACTATTTTTAAAATTTGAGGAAGTCATTGTGCAATCTATACACTAGTTAGAAATCATCGTGTAGTCTTTCCTAAATATTGCAGCAAACATTTTAATTCAAAAAATAATTTTTGACGCACCATGGGCAAACTTTTTTCACCATGTTATTCTAGCAGTTTTGTCGGACAAATTATCACACATATTTATAACGGATCATTATTTTTCAAGGTGGAGATATATATATATATATATATATATATATATTTATGTTATATGAATAATTTATAAAATTTTAAGGGGTGAAAATATAATATTAATAAAAATATAAAATTAATAAAAATATAAAAAATTATTTAATATATTATAATTTAAATTTTTTAAGAGGGAGGCCACCTCCGACCATTCGAGGATAATGGGAAAATGAAAATTATAATGTGAAATAAAAATTGTATATTTTTCAGGATAAAATTATAAAGAGTAAACGAGTTTATCTAAACTATCAATTTTCTATTCTGATATCTAAACCTTTAAAAAAATCAAAATCATACTTGAGATTTAGTTATTTATGTTATTGAATAATTTATAAAATTTTAAGGGGTGAAAATAATATTAATAAAATATAAAATTAATAAAAATATAAAAAATTATTTAATATATAATTAAATTTTTTAAGAGGGAGGCCACCTCCGACCATTCGAGGATAATGGGAAATGAAAATTAATATGTGAAATAAAAAAATTGTATATTTTTCAGGATAAAATTAAAGAGTAAACGAGTTTAATATCTAAACTATCATTTAGTCTATTCTGATATCTAAACCTTTAAAAAATCAAAATCATACTTGAGATTTAGTTTTTATTTCATTTTAGTACCATATTAAAAATTAACATTAAGATTTGAAAATAAAATAAAATTTTAAATACTAAGACAAACCAAAACTGATATTTTTATTATATATGTTAAATTTTAATAGTAAAATAAAATAAACAAAAAAAATAAATATTAACTATAATTTTTTTAAAAAAATAAAATTTATATAGTAAAATGGGAAAATGATTTCTGGGAGAGGCAATGAGCCACCCGCAGTTCCTCTTGCAATCGACATAGTTAGAAAGTGGTAAATATTGGATCAGTGTCAGGTTTTAAACCCAGATTTCTGCGTATAAAATCCCCCTTCCGTGTTTGGGAAGACAAACTGCAAAAGTCTACTTTTTCAAAGGCTAGAAAAGGAACATACTTCAAAGATCACAAGAACCAAGCTCTGCAACTGTAAGCTTCTTTTGTCCTCTTTTCATTTCTGCTTTATACCTTCTTCAATGCCATTCAAATTTTAATTCTTTAGCTACATTTTATGGTTTGGGAATTTAGATTGGCAATTTATGAACTGGGTTTGTTCTTAATTTCGTAAGAAAGTGAAAAAAAAAGATTTGATCTTTAATCAGCAGTGTACAAGAACTGAAGCTCTTTCCAAGTTAGAAATAATTTTCCTGGTTTGCTTACTTTTAGCTGTGTAGAAGAGGAAAATATGTGGCGTTGTACTGGAATTTTCGTTTTGGAGGATTTGTAAGTTTCTTAAACGGAAAATAATGTTGGACTCATAATTTGGTGTTTCTTTCACTTTCCCTTCTTTTTGGTTACTTAATTGCTTCTTCATCTCAAATTCATTTCAAAGTGCATGATAAAATGGAATTAGATTATATATTTCTTTGGTTACTAGATATATTTTGTGTATATATAAAAGTGAGGAAAACTATGGTTTGAGGAAATGATTTTGTGTTAGCATATTTCATGTTTCGCAGGACCAATGGCAGGGACTGCTGGTCCACATAAATTTTCTGAACGGATAGAAGCTCCGGGGATGAAACTGTAGTTAACGTTGCCGAATGAAGGGATCGGACAAGAACTGTCGGAGGAACATGATAATGAACAGCAAGATCGTTTCATTTGAACAAGCCAGTGAAGGTTTGGATTTAGGGAATTTGGAGCTGTATACTGGGATGACTTGTCAGTCCCTAGATGATGCAAGGGATTTTTATTTCGAATATGCCAAGCGCACTGGGTTTACCATACGAACGAATCGGATTCGACACTCGCTAAAGAGCACGTCTATAATTGGACGGGATTTTGTGTGTTCTAGAGAAGGTTTTTGAGCGGCGAAGAATACACAGAAAAGACACAGGGTTCTTCCTCCAAGGCTGGTTACAAGAGAAGGGTGCAAAGCAATGATAGGTTGGCAGTTAGTGATGGAGGTAAATGGGTTGTTACCAAATTCGTACGTGAACACAGCCACAAGTTAATGGCACACTGCAAATTTCCCGGAGAGCTGCCAACTGTTAACATGCTCACTGAGGTCTTAGATGCCCGAAAGTAGTCTAGTGAAACTTCATGCTAAGAACTCTGTGTAGCACTCAAAAAAAAAATTGTGAAGAGATCTTGCCAACGGTTATACATGAAGGTTCTATGCTTGGTTTGTGGATCTAGGCATCAGATATATATCGTAAGGTTGCATTCCATTGTTGTGCATTTTGGCTAGGTAATAACAAAATGGTCTGAGAATATCATGATACCTATGGTGTTTGTTTAGAAAATATTTTTTCATGTTCATATATCGAGCTAGTGCAGAGGGGGAGTATGTGAACCGTATAAAAGTTTCCAAGACAATGTAGCCTTTACTTGTAATCCGATATTGAACCTCATTCTCAATCTTTTTCTTTTTGCGGTTTATGCATTACGTTTGAGAGTCCAAAAGCTGTATTGAAGTTCATACTAGAGACCAAAGAAGAATGAACCTACGGGTATGTGATGTTTGGCAACTTGCCTACACTTATCATGTTACCAAAAGATTCTATGAGAAGTTTATACTAGAAATGGGAGATTCTTTAACTTGTGAAGTAGCTTCTAAGAGTTAGAGAAGCATAGGAAACAGGGATAACACTATACTAGTGGCTTGAGTTTGGAAACTGGACCATTAACTATTAGTCTTCGAGCTAGTGTAATTATGAATTTTTTGACCGTGATACTATGTTACTATGAATTTTTCTCATCTTTAGCTGTTCAGTTAATTATTTTGACCTTCTTCTACTTTTATTATGCCTTGAACTGCAACTCGCTGTGTTTGTTTGTTTATAAAGTTGTCACCCTATGCATGTACTTCCCAGATCCCACGAGTGAACATGCTCGACTTTCACCGCAACCATTGTACTAACATGATTCTTAAATTTTTGGAAAAAAAAATTCCGGTCGACAATCATGCTCATGATGCTCCTTTACTGTTTGACACTTGCATTGATGCTTTTGCAACCGACTCCGGGTTTGGTGCTATTTCAGGAAGAGAAGGATAAAAAATACAGGATCTATACAACAAGCTACAGCGCGAAAAGAACGGTCTGCTGCATTTCAACATCTACAGATAATTCTCAAAGATCTTGAAGAACATGCTGAATTCGTGTCGATTAGAGTTGAAGACATAGTTGACAGCCTGAAAGGGTTTAACTTAATGACTGTAGCTTAACTAGCCACGACCACCGTAAGTTTTCTGTGGGATCGGATTAGACCTAATTCATAACATTAAACTGCTAAAATCAGCCCTTGGGTTTCGACATTCTAAAGTGTTCTGAGACTGACATTGTAGTTCATTAGCATAAACACTGTATCTTAGGATTCACTGTGAAAGAAGAAATATATTGTAACCAATTTGTAATCAAGTCGAACTGTAAGAAGTTCAAGCTCAACCTGAAATTAAAGGGTCGTAGTTCGGTTAAGCTCGATTGAGTTCAACTTTTAAAGCCGCAATTCACTTTTTGAGCTTGTTCAATTAAGCATGATTCGTATGCTCGGCTTTACACTCGATGTTTATGTTCGAGATTGAGTAGTAACTAAAATAGAAAAGCTGAATTAAGCTTGTAAGCTATTTGAGTCGAGTTGCTTGATAGCTAAAGCTTAAGCTCCACTCAACAAGAAATGATATCCAAACGCAAGTACCTCATAAGGACCTAATTACAACTTTTTAATTTACTTTAAGTCTTGGTTCAAGCATGACGTCTCCAAGGTGTACGAGGGTTCATTGTCAATGGTTGAATCTTTCGAACAGATAATACTTCGTATTCGCCTCACTCTAATAAAATTAATACTAATAATTTCCTCGGAGTGGTTGGAAGACGCTTACCCACAAATTGGACTTTGATTATATTGGTCAAATGTATCAATCTGTTTTACAAGCAGCCCTTAATTCTTTCACTTTCTTCTTCTAGAATTCAACCAGAAATTTAAATGGAACGCAAATCCGGGTTTGATAATGTAAAACTATATTTTATTATTCGTAAATAAATTTGATGTATGTGGTACGATAATTTATAAAAGTTTATTTTTGGCATATTTTAGAAGTATTTACGGATTGTAGTACCGTGGACCTATGTTTGGCATATGATTCATAGAGGACTTCAAGATTGAGGTGATGAACATTTAGCCTATTTTATAATTAAAGTTGAATATAAAACTATTTAATTTCAATTTTTAGTATTATAACGAATAGCTTACTCATAATTTCAGGATTGAGTTTGCTGTTTTAGGGAGTGCACGAGATTCAAATACAATTGGTTCTAATTCAATTTGATATATTGAATCGGGTTTTCTTCAATAAATTAGGTTTGAATTTAGTTAGGTCAGAATTGTTTAGTGAATAAGTTTGGGTTTAAGCTTAAAAATATCTAACTCGACTAAAAAATAATGTATTTCTATATTATTTTTTCAATTAAATTTTTATTTTATTAAATAAATTAAAATCTTTAATTATCTCGAGTCGTATTTTAATTTTACCTCAAAAAAACAAACTTCAAGTCTTATACCCCAAATCTAGTCGAATTTCGGATGCTGAGTACTTATTTTTTAGGCATCCCTAATTTGGTGTAGACACATGGAAAAAATAACACAAAACAGGTTAAAAACAAAGAGAGAAAAAAAAACAGTTCTTCAAAACATCATCTAAGCAAATCAATACAATAACATGGACATAAATGGCGATGGAAAATCAGAAACACAAACAATGAAGCCACCAAATCCCCAACCAATTTTACAAATTCGAACAAAAATGGAATTAAAAAAAACCCTATCTACGGATAAAAAAGCCAAAATATTCAAAGTTAAGCCAAGGCACTAAAGCAGCCTCCTTTCATCATTTGCTTGAACCTCCATGAATATACGAACCCCACGGAAACAGATTCCATGCATTCAGGTCCTCTACCAATATTATTAGCTCCCGATGAATAGGTAGGTTGCTGGCCTCTCTGCCTAAAAGCCGGCATACACAAGTAGTAGAAGGCATACTCGGACAACATCGACGTCTTCCATCCGAGTGAAACCAGCTTTCTTATTAAATAATTTCTTCAGGTCGTCGACATGTAGGTTCGGCTTCTCCATTGACTCATCCGGAAAAACCCGGGATAACCATGATGGGCGGGCGATATGACGAGTGTACGGGCCTACATATCGTGTCCGAATCGTAGACCAGTGATTAAGCCAACTCCTTCCGCCCAAAGCAAGTATACGCGTGGAAAATGAAACCATATCTCTTCCTCACACGTTGTATACTGTCGGGTAGATTTGATGTCATGGTCTGAAGCCACAAATGGTCAAATTAGCATCTCCACCCGGATGCTGTACTCTCAGCCATGGCCCGAAGCAGGTTCCTCAAACAATTGTCTTTGAGCAGGTGAAAGCTTCTTGCAATGCAATTGTAGTGGCCAGGCTGACCTTTCTCAAGGTCAATTGAGCCGAAAAAAAATTTCTACAAAAACAATAAACATACCAAGTTAGATATACCAAAAACTACACTGTGAGATTCCAAAACAATAAACATAAAAAGTAGTAGTTTATTCTGAAACTAAAATTTGCACTGTTTTGTCTTTTGGTTGAAATGAAAATCGCAACGAGAGAATCGCAACGCGAGATGACAATCGCAACGCGAAATGAAAATCGCACAACGCGAAATGAAAATCGCAATGCGATTTTGGTTTCGCGTTGCGATTCTCTCGTTGCGATTTCATTTCGCGTTGCGATTCTCTCGTTGCGACAGTCATTCTCTCGTTGCGATTTTCATTTATCTCGTTGCGACTCTTCTGCAAATTGAAACTTGAATGATGCATTACTTCAACCAAAAGACAGAACAAAGACAAAGACAAATACTAACTTGAAATCGCAACGAGAGAATAGCAACGCGAAATGAAAAATCGCAACGACAGAATCGTAACGCGAAATGAAAATCTAAGTGAAATGGTTAATCTATTATTGAAATGACCAGTAAACTTATCATCAGTTTCAATATGAAAACCTACAATAATGCAAACATTTCAAAATAAAAATAATTAAAAAACTAACCCTCGGAGGTTGATTTTCCATTTCTGATTGTGAGGGATTTCTGACGTGAATGTTGTGAGGGATTTCGCCGGAGATGGGGACGGAAATCTTCGGAGATGGGGACGGATTTCTTCGCCGTAGAGCGTGAGAGATGGAGATGGGACTGAGTTGTGATTTAGGTTTAGTTATGAGTTGCGATTACGGGATTTGTCTTAATATTCTTTTTGTAATTTGAAAATAAAATACGCGTAGCGATTATAATGGGCTTTAAATCGCGTTGCGATTTACGATACGCGTTGCGATTTTATGTATTATCGTTGCGATTTACGGATACGTTGCGATATACGGATACGCATTGCGATTTACCCATACGCGTTGCGATTTACGGATACACGTTGCGATTTACGGATACGCGTTGCGATTTATGTGTTCGCGTTGCGATTTTCATATTCGCGTTGCGATTATGGAAAATCGCAATGCGAATTTGTACTATCGCATCGCGATTTTCAAGAATCGCGTTGCGATTTTGGAAATTTGCGATGCTGGAAATGATTTGCGATTCTGGGGATCGCGTTGCGATTTTATTTCGCGTTTGCGATTTTGTTGGTCATTTTGGCAAATCCAAAAAAGTTGGTTAAAATCGTAATTATAACTTTTTTTTGGTCACTGAGGCGATTTTCTCTATTCTAAAAAAGGTTGATACAATAGTGGAGAGTTGACAAGGGAACACTAATGCATCTGATCTGAGCTATGTGTGTGTGAGCTGGTTCTGGCTGTCTTCAACCTTGAGTTTTAGAAAACAAGCATGACCACATGTGCTTGGATTTAGGAGTGTTTAATGAGTTGAGTAGTTCTTTAAGAAAATTTGTTGCTCGTTAAAATATGACTGTAACATCCTTAATACCGGGTTATTGATTAAATTGTAAAGTCTCAGAATTTAGTGGTTAAAATAATGAATGAAGAGTTTAAAGATTATGTAATTATTGTGTAGGATGGAATTGAAAGGAATAAGGAATGGAAGGACAATAGTAATTGCAAGGAAAAATAATTAAAGAAATGATAAGTATTATATATAAGGATACACGTGGGTGGAAGGGGAGAAAACACCCAAGGCTTCCAGAGTTCTCTTCTTCTTCTTTCTTCCTTGTGCGTGTGAACCAAAGAAAATGTAAGATTTCTGATTATGAGTTTCTTGTTAAATTTAAGATTGGTTTTTTGATTATTAGATGATAACTAAGCTTAAGGAAGCTTAAGTTATCTTAACAAGGATGATGGAGTTAAGAGAGATTTAAGATTTGAAATTCTTAAATGAAATCTTGGAATAGAGTTCATAACTAGAATTGAAAGTTAAATTTGACTTGTCATCAATCTAGTTAAGATATACGAAGTGTTAAAAGTGGAATTCAAACATGTTGATTATGATGTAATTATTGAATTACATATGAAGGATATGATTTGGAGGTTTAAGATGAAATAAATGAGTATAAATTGATTTAAGGATGTGTACTAGTAGTTAAGAATGAAAAAGGGAATTAAACATGAAGGATTTAATCCAAAATGAAGAATTTTTGGGTTCAAAAAGAGGATTCTGGGCAGAGTGCATCGATGCATATTCATAGTGCATCTGCATCAAGGTTAAAACCCAGAAATTGTTTGAAGGTGTATCGATGCACTATGCACTCTTTTAAAATAAAACATCGATGCAATTAGTGCATCGATGCATAAGGCATGCAGCATCGATGCATCCCATTAATAATAAAACATCGAATGCATTTTATGCACCGATGCACAAGTAGTGCATCGATGCATACATTCATTAAAAGAGGAAATTAGCATTTATCTTAATCTAAAGAGTGAACATTAGAGTATATTAGCTATATATGATATAGATCCATGTGATTATGTAGACTAAAAGTAATCTTATTCCGGAACGATCAAAGGATTATAATCGAATCAAAGCAAAGCTAAGGTGAGTGCTATATGTATAATAGAAATAAGACTTGTGAAGTCTAGTCCCTATATTGATTTTCATAGTACAATAGTTGCATATATGATAATTATTGT